TTCCATTACTTTTAATTTTAAAATTAAAATTTGAGATATACTATGCACAGCTAGAAAAGTATTAAAAATCTTATAACTAAAGAGCACTCCTTCACACTTCCCTGCCCTGTTCACATTAGGATGGAGTACTCCAGACGTGGCCAAGCCCTTTGCTTTTTCCCAAACTCTGCTGACATCTTTTCATCTAGTGACAGTTCCTCTCTTCTCTGTTTTCATGGGTTTTACTTTTTAAATGAATTTAATTTCATTTTTATGGCAAAGAAATGAAGTAAAGCTAAGTATATCTATTCAACTCTCCAAGTTTAACTGAGAGTATTATTTTCTATTTTTGAGTCTACAAAAACTGTTGAGTAAAAAGTCTGGCCCCTCCCCTCACCTATGGTTTTAAAACCACAGAAACTCTGCCCTGGTTTTTCTTTGGCGCTTGTCCGTGAGGGTTTCTTGGTTTCATTTTTGCCTTTAGTTTAGTTTGCCCACATTCTTCCTGTGGATCGCAGAAACCCTTCTAATAGCTGGGCCACACCCAAGGAGTGGGAGGGAAAAGTGGGGCCATGATGCATGTGCTCTACCTTAATTTGGTTTTAATGAAAATGTGCTATTCTCTAATAGTAACTTTCTCCGCTCATTTCCTTTTTGTTTCGATACTCTTTATTTTTTAATGTGTCCCTTGCTAGTAAGAATTTTTAGGGGCTCCTCCCCACATTTCCATTGCCAGCACACTTTTCCCCCCTTTTCTCCACTTGCTGACATGCCCACTTCGGTTGCTCCAGCTGTCCCGCCCCACTCAGGGAGGCCTGTTGTGCCCCTTGGAGGCCCTAGCTTTCCTTCCACCCGCAAGAGCTTGCTTCATACAATTAAAAACAACTCCACCCACACTTTGGCTTCTTGAAAGAGAATGTGATTTTCCCCCGTTAATTAGCTTCCTTATTTGACCATTAATTTGTCTTCATTCTAATGGAAATTTGTTCTCTACTTGAAGCTTTACTTTGTCAGAACCTGAGAAACTTCAAGTGTCTGGAATGCATGAATAATAATAATAAATAGCACTTTTCACTCTAATCTTTAATAGTGGCCTCTATCTGGTTTATAAATCTTATCATTTTTATTGCCTCATTTCCTATTCTTACAAGCATATTTTGGATTTTAGCAAAGCCAGCCAGAGAAGTGGCGTTAGTTATTTATATTTCAATTCTAGATATTTAACTTTGAGGTGATATTTGGTAATTTCTAGACAAAACCTAATTTACCCTTCCCTCTCACAGAAGAAAGTGCCCCCCCAATTTCCTTAATTAGCTTTTCTTTATTTTGGGGATAGTCCTTTTCTCCTCTCCAGTAGTGATCCACCATCACTTATATACTAAACTAAAAACTATCTTTCACAAGCCTGCGCAAGTGTTCTAATGAAACTTCCTTGCAAGTGGCTTCCTTCTATGACTAATGTGTAGGATGAGCTCCACGTGTAGCTCTTTCAGTCTGGTTATAGAAAACCACTCTTCATTTTTATTCTAGTTTTTCTTGCTAAAATCACCTCCAGAGATTTGATGTGTAGAAGGCTTTAAAATGGTCCCGGAGATACCTGCTGTTCCTGTATTTACATGTGGTGTGCTCACTTCCACTTGAATGTGGGTGAGACTTACAGGCTTGTTGTAATAAATAGAATACAGCAGAAGCAAGGGGTCCGTTTTCTTGATTGAGTTACAAAAAAAGACTGTGCGGGGAGGGGGCAGGGAGATGGCTCAGTAGGATAAGTGCTTGCCTGGCAAGCGCAGGGTCTTGAGTTCAATCCCTGGTACAAAAAAGACCATGGCACTCCTTGACACTTGCCAGTCACTGGCCTGAGGGAAGCCAGCTGATTCACTGAGAGGTTGTGCAGAGAGGTAGCACAGAACTGGGGAGGCCTCTGGACAACAGCCTGAGAGTCTCAGTTCAACAACCTGTGACAAACAGACCCTACCAGCAACCACATTTATGAGCCAGAAGCTGAGCGGCTCCTGGTTGCGCCTCTAGATTAGCCTAGAGACCTGTGGACACCCTGAAACCAAGCCCACATGAGATCTTGAACCCGAGGCACCAACTAGGCCACACTGGGTTCCTGGTCAGCAGAAATGATGACATAATCAATGCTTGTTAGTTGAAGCCGCTGAATTGAAGGATAATCTTTCATGTAGCAGTAAGTAATGAATTCAGGCTCTCAAGGCTGTCTGTTTTTCATATGATAAGTTTACTTTCAGATAATTCTTCCATAGGTTAATTTAATCACTCATCCAAGGTTTTCTTTAAGTTTCTCTCCGAAGGCTGGAAGTGGCAGACATCCTTTCTGTTCATAATCACACCCCAGTGCCTGCCTCGCACAGTGCCCACCTATTACATACCTGATAATGTGTCTGTTATGAGTTGACTCCTTGCCTGTGCTTTCCGTTTAGTCCTGGTTAAGCTATTCTGCACTTTCCATATTGCCATTTCTTTTGGCTTTCAGGCCTACTGGTCTAGTTGCCTTGGCTCTTCTCTGCTCTAACCCTCTGTCTCTTCTCTAGAACTTCACCACTGTTGCCTCATTTGCGGCAATAGGCATGCCCTGTCTACTGCTCTGTCCTGCAGTGGAGCCGAGCCCTGCCTGTGCTGCACTGGGAAGTGGCTTCCTTTCTTGGGGTGGCTGTGCTGCTAGGTGTGTCCCCGCATGAGACACCCCATCACCTGACTCCTCGCCACCTGCAGTAAAGAGTGTGTTTACTGGTTTTCTTTTTCATTTAGGAAGAACAAATGAATGAATAATGAGGCCAAGAGATAGTGTGTGCATTAAGCTTGAAGTCACCTTGAAATTTAGAAGCAGAATTACCAGAAGACAAGTGTCCTGAAAGAGGAAACACCATGCCACACTGAGTCAAATTTCAGTTTGGCTCTGCCAAATTGTGTGACCTTATGGAAATCACTCCACCTTTTTCAGTAAATTTTTCATCTGTAACATGCAAATAACATCAAATTTATAGAACTATCTTAGCCATTATTTTTTACCTAGTATTTTGTTCATTTTGTGTCTTATAAGATAGTCACTTCATCTTTTTTTAAAAGTTTATTTATTTGGTGCAGGGTCTCACTATGAATCTCAGACTCATAATGATCCTTCTGTCTCAGTCTCCCCAGTACTGGGATTATAGGTATGCACCACTATGCCCAGTTTCAGGGCCAGCACAGCATGAAGTACTGGGGATTGAACCCGGATCCTTACACCTGCCAGGCAGGCACTTAAGAGCACTGAGCTATCTCCCCAGCCCTCCCTTCATCTTTATGGTTGATAATTTAAATATAACAAGAGCATAGTCTATTTATTGTGAATAGCTGCTACTGCTACTAGCACTTTCTTGTTATTTATTAAGATGTCAATAAAACCAAGGAAAATACTACTTTCAAGTAGCATCCAGAATCTTCCTCTACCTGCCTTTATTTGCTGTGCCGTCATAAACGGGATCAAACACTATAATGTAGTATAATGTTGGTAATTAGGGAACAAATTAATTATCCCACTATTTCTAAACTGCCTAGCAGTTTCAGAAATAAGACTTTTTTAGAAAAAAAAATTTCCTATGAAAATAATTTTACTTCGGTTTAAATAAAAACATTGCTGAAATAGTCATACATATATAAGAAATAAGACTAAAGCATATAAAATCACTATGTAAATTTATGTTGGCAGAAACAAAATATAAAACACTAAAGTAAAACTACTTTAGTAGTTGTCTAATTTTTTAAACTTAATGTGCTTTTAAGAGTATTTTTTGAAACAAAGATTCAATGGTCAAACAAATAAGACATAGTAAATATATAAATATTCTTAGTCTTAGAACTTTTATGTAATTACTTGAAACACTGGGCACAGAGCAAGCCTTAAAAGATTACTTAGTTCTCTAGCTTCATCTTACACAAAATGGAGCCAAGTCCACAGAGGTTAAATTGCCAACTTAAGAGCCCAGATGCCCTCTTAGGTCTCCGGCTAAAAATCCAGGGCCCTTTCCACAACACCGAGCTGTCTTTCCTGTTTGTGCTTGTCTGTTTGTTGCTCTTACGCTGTTACACGAATTGCGCAGGTACTATTGTCTGTGGCCTACCTCCTCCTGGGCCTGCTTAAATTGCTGCATCAGTTGTGTTTGTTCTAGCATTATTTTTTCCAGTTCATCTGACTTGTGCTTCATTTTGTCCTTCAAGTCTTGGGAGACTGAATCATTGTTAATTTCCTTTTTTAAGCGAGATTCAAATTCTGCAACTACATTTTTAAGGCTTTCAGTTTCTTTTTTCTTTGATTCAGACTCTTCAGTATATCGGATGTGCGATTCCTGGAGTTTTTTTTCGAGAGCTGCCACTTTCAGTCTTAGGTCTCTGGTAGCACCCGCAACAGAGTCAGATATCTGTAAAAGAAATCTCACTTTAGTTTGTAGGCAACAGTTTATAGGTGACATGGAGATTTTATAATTTTTAACAGCTTTATTTTAACTAATCAGTGAACTTTAGATGAAAATGAATCTAGATGAGACACACAAGGCTGCAAGATATTCTTTTGAAAAGTTAACACAAAATTTTATTTTTTTCTTCCACTTAAAATAGTATCACATTAATCACTTGGACACTCTTAGAAATATAAATCTCTATGACAATATTAAACTGTGAAGGATAGTGCAAGTCTCCACAGGTAGAGCAGAGGCCTGGCTGGACCCAAGCAGGTTGGCTTTGGGACTTCAACATTCCCGATGTTGGAGATGCAGGATGCAGGAGGGCACCAGAGCTGTGTTCTCCTCACGCAACATCAGTAAGTTTTCCTTTACATAACTGTCCTTTCCTTCTCACATTTCATGGCTGGAGCTACCCCAGGCACTAGGCTTTCTGCTCAGTCCACCTTCTTGTGATGACAGAAATATTCTGTGCTACCCAATATGGCAGCCACTAAGACATATATGGCTACTTACAGTGCTGTGCTGTAAATGTTTAACAACTGACTGCAAAACCACAATAATGACAGTAAGACAAAACAAAACAAAAACCAGTCAAATCTGCGTCTACTTTCCATGGTGCCAATACCTTACAGCTACCAACATGATACCACTGATTACTGAGTTTGGAAAAGATGCCTGGAATAGGCTCTTGAAAATCAATATTGATTATAAGTACTTGAAATATGACTAATTTGACTAAAGAATGGAATATTAAATTTTATTTAATTTTAACTAATTTAATTGAAATATAAGTGGCATATGTGGCTGCCATAATTAGAGAAAATATGAGAATACTATGAAAAGGTATTGCTTTTTAGGGTGGTAACTCTAGATACATCAGAGAATAACTTGGAGAAGCTTTTCCTTATAGCATGAAATCTTCAGAAGGGTAAGACCTTTCTCTTTAAAAAACAAAATAAGGAACAGAAAAATGAGAGGAGGATAACTTCTGGTGAAGTAGATCCTTATTAGTTACACCACAGATATTGTCATATTATAAATATGAGCACAACAAGAAGCTAGCCCACAAAGAAGCTGGAAGACATTCATAGACCAAAGTTCCAAGGACTCTGTGAACTATTACTTAAAGGGAGTTGTGTATCCAAAATTTATTTCAAATGTTACATTTACATAAGGAATAAATCTTGGGAGAAATCTACTAGTTTTAGAAATTAATATTCTATCATTGTCAATTACTACATAAGGGAAGGAGGTCACTGTTAAGCCTGCACAGTGGTTTCCATCACCCACAGTAGAGCTGGCAATGAAACAGAGCAAGTTATCCTTGGGATAGAAGTTTCACATCACCAAAAATAGGTTTTGATTTTTTTTTTTTTTAAAAAAAGGAATCAACATTTAAAAATCAAGGGCTTTCACTTACGACTTCTCTTGAGAGACTGTACCTGGCAAGTTTGGGCCTCTCTACTCCTCTTCCCATGGGATCCTGAGCCACCCAAGACCGCAAGGTAATCATGAGGTCAGAAGAAAACGCCAAGGGTAGACTCTGTGGAGCTTTTGACACCAGGGACCGGGAACTAAGGGGCAGGGCCTGGCCAGTGGAGGTCAGAACTGCAGGAGAACGGGGCTCCAAGGCGACAACACATGCCCCATTGTATCCTTGGGATTTCACTTATAAAATCCTAAATTCAAAGATAAAATTATCAAAGAGGATTAAATGCAAAGCACAAGGCCTTTCTGAGTATGGGGCTTTGTGCTACACTGTTCAGAAAAAGAGGTGACTGGTCCTACTTACTACTGTTCACAGTGAACTATTGAAATAGCTGGACTGAATCTCCTTTACACGTATATAGAGATCATCAGGCTCATTTGAGGCTTAATTAACATGGGAATGTAATGAGTTTATTCAAAATATGATTTACCTCCTTTGTCTTGTTCTCTCTCTCTCTCTCTCTCTCTCTCTCTCTCTCTCTCTCTCTCATATAAAAAGAGAAACAAGTCAGGCAGGGAGGCACACAAGCACTTTGGAAGGCTGAAGCAGGAGGATTGTGTGTTTGAGCTCATGGGAAACATATTGAGATTTTGTTAAGAAAGAAAGAGAATGGAAGGGGGCTGGAGATATAGCTCAGTGGCACAACACCTGCCTGGCAAGCATGAGGTTGTGTGTTTGATTCCTGATACAAAAAAAGAGATGAAAAAGAACTGAAGATATAACTCAGTAGGAAGAACTTGGGTTCAATCCTCAGTACCTCAAAATGAAATAAAACAGAGAAACTTCAACAAAATCTTAAATTGTATGTAGGACACATGGTCTAAGAAATTAGGGAGGTGTGATTACATTTCTAAAATGTTTCTCGGCATTAAAATGTTTAGAATTGACAATATCTGCAATTAAAAAGAATATGCTTTAGTTGGGAAAATCTGACTTGCTTAATATGTCCTTATCTTTTGATGTTAGACACATGAAGCATTGGCCACTCTGAGTATTAATTATATAGTTTATGCTGTCTTAAAGGTAAATTTACTTCAGTAGGGAAACCTGCACACCGCTAGATTGTATACGTACACAGTCCATCTCAATTATTCCTTGTGAGAGCTTCCACAGCATTCTACCTGTGTGGCTATAACCAATGCAAGGTTGTCACAAGGACACCTAAAGGAGTTTGAAATACTGTACTATTTTGAGGAGGAAGTACCAACATATTTAATATCAAAGACATTAAAGATGAACACAAGAATTATACACCTTCATTTGTAGTTCTTCTTGTTCTTTCTTATATTTTTGGATTATTGCTTCGTGTTTTTCTTTCTCAATTTCAAGCTCCAGTTTTGCTTCTTTCTTGAATTCAGCTAAATATTGGATCCTTTCCTTGGAAAGTTCAGCTAAATGTCGGGCCCTTTCCTTGGAAAGTTCACTTTCAATCTAGAAAACAGAATTTAACATGCATAAAGTGATTTTACTTTAAAATAAATACATATATTTATTTTCAGACTTTTAAAAAACTAACATTAATTTCTTAATTGAGCTAGCATTATCTAGTGTTGAAAAATTCTTAGTACCTTAATTAGAAAACCTGAACATGGAGTAAATATTCCAAGACCTAAGACTTTCCAAAATCTGTAAAATTAGTAGAGAAGTTAGGACTAATATTATGGCAGTTTTAGAAATGCTAAAAGTTGAATCATTCATATTTAAATGACTAAACACTGAGTCATTTACACTATAAGCGCAGTCCTTGCCAGCAACACATAAGGAAGGAAACCCCAAAAAACAAAAAATAAATTTTGAGGCCCTTTGACCAAGTTCAGTGGAAAATTCAGAGGTACAAAATACATATGTTGATTTTTTTCAAACCCTTTCTTGATAGAGGTCATACAAAGGTCACAGAGTCCCATTGTCATTTTAATGTAAATGAGACTGCAGAGATACAGGATCTATATGCATATATATGTTTTATATATGTGTGCTAGAAGTGACCTTTAAAATCCCAGGCTCAAGCTCAGGCTTCTGTGAATTGTAGAAAGAATAAACAAGGATTTTGGTTTAAATTGGAACTGAGTTTAAATCTTGGCTGTAAATCCTGGCTCTGCCACTTGCTAGCTGTGTGATCTTAAGTCTGTGACCATAACCTCTCCTGATGGGGTTATAACTAGTTCTCTTGGGAGTCATTATGAGGATTAAATGAGGTGAAGCATCTGTGTAAAGCTCTAACGTGAGCAGGAATTCAATAGTCAGCGGAGATTACTAGCACACTACGACCCTTCAGTCTCTATTATGGAATCTATACCGAATGACAGCCTGCACTGTGCCTCACACCTCCAGAAACTGTAACTCACTCCTTCCCTAGCCGGAGTTTCCATTTAAGACAGCCCTAAGCATTAGGCAGTTTTTCCTTTAGTTGAGCCAACATCTTCCCCCATGTGTTTTTAACCAATGGTTTTGGCTCTGTCTACTACAGCGAGTCGGGAGAGCAAATCTGCACGGTGCTGGCGCCATTTATACCTCAGTGTTCATCTGCTGAGATTAACGAAGCAAGCTTAGTAACAGGTTCGCTGTCGATTTCCTCTTTGCCATGCTATAGTTATAAACTCTCACTGGGGGTAAATGCCAGGTAAATTAGGAGAAAAACATGTCAAACTTGATTGACTGTGTGTGTGGTTTTGGTTTCTAAAAGGAGGAAAGAGGCCAGAATGAATATCCCCAGGGAACACTGAAATGAGGATACCAGGACACAGAAAGCTTGCTTAAAAAGTTTAAAGGAAAGCCTCTAAGTTAAATAAGAAAAGATAAAAGACTAGCCCCAGTGTGGAGTGGGTTAGATTTACTGCATTGGGCATTTGCGCCAAAAGCATAGTAATTACGTTTATATTCAAGATGAGGAGCTGTTCTGACTCTCAAAATAAATTTCTGGATTGTCTGGATACAAAGCTACTGATGATCTTTTAGGAACATTAGAGAATTATTCAGATGGGTTTCTCTCAGCAGAATACATCCTTTTCTGATTACTGGGCACTTAGATCCATTTGTCTCCTGGTAGCCATTCAGACAACTCACAGGTGTCACCAATAAGCTAGGCATCCCTGAAGCCTTGACATAATGCCCTCCCCCAGGCCTGTTTCACTCCCAGCTCACAGGACACAGTACCACCATATACCCGTCATTCAACTGAGTAACTGAAACATCATCTTTCATACCTCCACACCATACTGAAAGTGCCTTAAATCCATCCATTTCTCTCAATCTCTCCTTTTATCCCACTAGTTCTGGCCACCGTCAGCTCCTGATCAGCCTCCCTGGAAACCCACTCTGGCCTTTCTCCAATCCATGCTACACATAGCACAATATTCTTTACAAAACGTAAATTAGATTCATTTAGTCCTTCTTAGAGGTTTCTCAGTGGATTAGTACACATTCAAAACTCCCCACATGACCTTGTTACTGGGCTACAGGATGCCTTTATACAAACTGACACAGCACTCCTTTACTTAGATGAAAACAGTCTCGAGCCAGGTGGGGACCTGGAGAGCTGGACAGGCTGGGTTCCAGCTCCTTCTGCCACTCTGGCCAGGGTTTTTATGCAGGATGCAACCTGAACTCTAGATAGCAGCTCTGGAATTCTCCAGCCTGACTTCCCTCTTTTCTTCAATTGATTCTCACGCTTCAGCCACACTTGGATAGGTAAGTCAAAGACATATGAAAGGAACAAATCAGATGCAAAAGATTCGGAAAAATTGGAAAGTATAACTTTAAGACTTAACAGTTCACAAGGTACTCTGACACTTTCCAGAAAAAGCAACCTAAATATTTTTTTTAGAAACTCAAGAAAAATGTATGCCAAGGTACTAATGTGTCAATAAGTAAAAAAATCTCTTATGTAGTAGAGCCTAAAAAATTGTGTAGAGCTTACAAATAATTAGTTTAGGGAAAAATATACATTTTAAAGTGTGGACTAGATGCTCAAAATAAGAGAATGAAAATAAAAGCAAACTAGGTGGGGCAGGACACGCTACAAATTAGATACCAGTAAAACTCTGGAAGAACCTTTTAAAGAGAAGTTCTTTTTTAAAGAGAAGTTCTTTAATTTTATTTGTGAAGAGAGGACATTTAGTAAATCAGCGGGCTCTTGATGTAGATGAAAGAAAGGAAGCTTTCTGGGAGGAAACAGTAATGGTTTGAATGAGCACAATGTTCTGTTCTACCCAGGTCAGGAAGTGAGATCTTGTTCACGAAATAGTCCTTGTCATTACTGTGAGTAAAGACAGAAAAAGAAAGCAAGCAGGCACCATGGGGGAAAATGCCATCGGAGGCAGAAGAAAAGGAGGCCCTTAGAGTGGCTTGGTTTTTGATTTGCATAACTTACAAATCAGCTTCACATGAGATTTCCAAAACTTCAGGCAAGCTGCAATGGGACATCAAGAGCCACAGGAATGTGTTGACACGGGAGTAACCTGGGACTACTAGTTCCTTCATTATCTGGTTAATTTGCACTAAGAGATGAGCCCACATAATGATTTCCTTAAAGAGCATATTCGCCATTGAGAAGATGGTTTCATGCCAAACTATGCGTCATGTTTTTATATAAGCTATTAGTTTAATGCATCTGAGATGACAGGACTTAGGCAAATGAATTATTTTGATGATGATGCACATATCTTTATATAAACCAACATATAAACAACTAACAGTAATTTTTCTAATTGTGGGGAAATTCTGATGACTAAAAAGCATAAATAATAGATGATCTCAGGAGTTACACAAAGTAAAATAATTATTATTTTGTAGATACACTTAGACACACTTCACCTCCTTCATGGAGGCCTCCTGAGGGCTCCAGAGAATTCTCAACATTTCTTTTTTAAGAATTTCTTTTGAATTTATTAAAATGAATAACTAATATTTTAGAAAATCTATATCTAATGCTAATGTGAAAAATACTATTTTCACTAATTATTTTCCAACCATTTTCCAGATTTTTGTGGTTGGTTTTGTTTTATCATTTATCTGGTCATGAGGTTTATCACCAGGTTAACATAATCACTTGTTATTCATAATACCTTCAAAATAAATAGAAATTTCAGATGCCAAATTAGGAATCAGATCACTGTACATTTAATATCCAAATATTATTTAAAAATGTATTTCCTAAAAATAAATTCCTGTACTATTTTCCAAAGGTAATAGCTATGCTAGTTGAAAACTGGCTCCCATGATATAGATTAAGAAATACATTTCGAAGCTTAGTAACTTCGTCAATGTGGAGAGGCTGTGCCTACCCAGAAGACTCTGGCCGACTGCGGCCCAGCACGCTTAGTTTTCCCATATAGCCTGTCTTTCCACATGTCTCTGTGGCATAGTTATTCTAGGCATGCACTCAGTATTTATTTAGTCTCAAAATACTTGGAATTTCTCAGATAACTTTCTATTAATTATTTCTAATTTAAATTCCATTGTAACTAAATAAAAGGATCTGTGTGAGTGAAATCCTTGTCAATTTATCAACACTTATTAATAACATCTATTGTGGTAAACATATCACGTACCATGAAAATAGTGTATTCTGCTGAGAATTAAGTAAAGAATTCTATAACTGTCAATTACATCAAGTTTGCCAGTAGTATGGTTCAATATAGTTCTCAAAAAATTATTATATTATTTTCCTTATATATTCTTTCTGATTTCTGGCTATTCTTCTATTAAGTATTGAGAGAAAGATGTATTAACACATCAGGCACTAATTGTGCATAGGTTTTTTCTCCTTGCAATTTTATCAGTTTTTATTTCATGCATTTGCAAGATGTTATTAAGTGGAGAATATAAGTAGTAATAGTGGACATCCTTGACTTGTTCCTTTCTAGAGTAAAAGCTTTCAGTTTTTGTCTGTTTAGCATGATGTTGGTTGTTGAAGATGGCTTTTATAAGATTGAGATAAAGATCATCTATTCCAATTTTCTGTAGGTTTTTTTTTATCATGAATATGTGCTGGACTTTGTAAAATGCTTTTTCTGCTGCATCTATTAAGATAATCATACGCTTTTATGCTTTTTTTCCTTGAGTCTGTTAATATGCTATATCACATTTATTGATTTACATATGCTGAGCCACCCCTGCATCCTTGTTATGAGCCTATTTGGTCATAGTGTATAATCTTCTTGATGATTTTCTGTATTCTGTTTGTCAATATCTACTGGGGAATTTTGCAACAATGTTCATTAGGGTGATTGGCCTGTATATTACTTTCTTAGTTGGTCCTTCTTTGGTTTTGCTATCAGCATAATATCTACTTCCAGAAATGGATTTGGGAGTAATGCTTTCCTTTCAGTTTCATTTGAGTTTGAGAAGTACTGGTAGTATGTCTTTTCTAAATTTCTTGTGGAATTCTTCAGTGAATCTGTCAGGGACTGGGCTTTTCTTTGTTGGTAGGT